TATTCTGTATTTGGAATTAAGAAACTTCTAGGTGACAACTACTGATTGATATAACAGCTATAAAACTTTTTATCTAGAATAAGTCATGGCATAAAAACTACAAATTAGCGTTGTTAGCTTGGTGGAAAGAAAAATATTAAAGTCGTCAACAACTTTTATAATAAGTGCATCTTGACTGTTTAATTTTTTTTTTACTATTTAAGTCAAGTACGACTGGAAAATATGCTGAACTAAATAGAAAACGTCTCTACTCAAAGACTTTATGAAAGATGGTCGTTGACACAGCTTTGAAGGATGTAGTTTCACAGACTGGTTGAATAAATAATATGCGTTGGCACAGTTGCAGTTTCTTTAGAAATTACATTTTGTCTAAATTAGATAGATAGATATATCTATTCGTATCTCTGTGATGATGATAAACTGACAAAAACTAGCTGCTTTTTAGATAAGTTTCCACTTTACCGTTATAAATTTTCAGGTGAACAGACACTGTCTGTCTTTGTTGTTTTATCCTGTTGATTATCAGATGAAGAGACAATGTCTGTCTTTGTTGTTCTATTCTGTTGATTTTCGGATGAACAGACATTGTCTGTTTTTGTTGTTTTATCTTGTTAGTTGTCAGATGAACAGACGTCTGTCTTTGTTGTTTTATCTTGTTGGTTGTCAGATTGAACAGACATTGTCTGTTTTTGTTGTTTTATCTTGTTAGTTGTCAGATGAACAGACATTGTCTGTTTTTGTTGTTTTATCTTGTTAGTTGTCAGATGAACGGAAATTGTCTGTTTTTGTTGTTTTATCGTGTTGGTTGTCAGATAAACAGACATTGTCTGTTTTTGTTGTTTTATCGTGTTGGTTGTCAGATAAACAGACATTGTCTGTTTTTGTTGTTTTATCGTGTTGGTTGTCAGATAAACAGACATTGTCTGTTTTTGTTGTTTTACCTTGTTGGTTGTCAGAAAACAAACGCTTTCATATGATGAAATATGCAGTTTTTAATAGTTCTGTTAAACGTACTACAATTATATATATATACCATCTTCTAAATAAAATAATTTTTACAATTAATAGAGAAAAAATCATTATTTTATCAAAAATATTTGTTTGTGCATTGTTTTAAACTATAAATATTTAAGTATGACTGTTTCAATGCTGGTTTGGTGCTTAATACCCTAAAATCTTATATATACTGCCAGTCATTAGTTTTCAGGATTCGTTAAATGATCCAACAACCAAACACGTTTCACGCACAATTACGCAACTTAAGAAAAAAGGGGAAATTTACCAATTCCACAAAAAAATTAAAGTTGAGAGTAGCACAATAGAGTCAGCTTGCTACCATCTGTCTCCGTCCATTGGCATTTGGCTTCACAAACCAAGTCTAATTATGTGTCAGTTAAATATTTCTAGATGAAGTCTATTTTGTTAAAATATATAGTGTCGCCACCCCTCGTAAAAAAGTACATCAAAAAATCTGCTCAAACTTAATTAGCTAATTCCTAATATTTGAAATTATAACCTATTTGATAAAAATGTTAACAAAACCGAGCGCACTTACACAGACTGAAATGCTAAATATTATGCTTATCCTTTTTCGCTTTAAAGTTTTTATAGTTTCAAATAACAAAAAATGAAAATAGCCTAATTTGTAGGCCTCTATCAGACTTTGTACTTATGACAAAGTTTCCAACTATATATCTGCTGCCGTCCCTGATTTTGAAATAACCCAAAGAGAAGGCAGCCAACCCTACCATCCACACTAAAGGATTGATTGTCACTCTTTTAATGCACTCACAGTTCAAAATGTAGGAGCATAGCACGGATTCGAAAGCGAATTGCCAGTTCCCAGAGCTTTACCACAGGACCAACCAGCACCTATTTTGTTTTTAAAGCTAGATTTGTTTATTGTTATCACTTTGTTTTGTGCGCTATGGGCTATCAACATTCTGTCTGCTGCGGGGAATCGAGCCAGGAATTTTAGCGTTGAAGTCTGTAAATTTACCGCTGGCCGACCGGAAGACTTTAAGGCTAGGCCTTTTCTGACTGTTGTTTTCTGTAAAACTTCCTTTAAGTATGGTCGACTGTAAAAACATAATTTTGCACATGTTGAACATTTCTTGTGATGGTTGTTTTCATATTAAATTAACATGATATTATCTTTTAAAGTGATCTTAGAGAAACCGCCGCTTCACTTCCTTTAAAATATTTTAAAATACATTTTCAACCCTGAAGTAAGGCTTCAACCTCTGCTTACGTTCTTGAAATGCTTTGTATGATATGAAACAAAAATAATTAGTTCGGTTAGTTGAAATCATAAGTTCGACGAAAGGTTACTGTTCGAGCATATAAAAATATACCACATTTTTTCCCCCTATTTTCGAGCTATTTTGTCGCACAAGAATTTATAATTTTTAAGTTTTCTCAAGCTTTGTTTTATACAAACTATTTAATTGTCAATAATTTTGCTTGTTCTTATAATAAAATTCTCATATAACTAACTTTGTGTAGTCATAACAAACAATCGAAATTTCTATGGGTCCGTGTATTAAGTTAAAATGGGCTGGTGGTTAGGATGCTCAACTCGCAATCTGCGGGTCGCAGGTTCGAATCCCCGTCACCTAAAATGCTCACCCTTTCACCCGTGAGAGCGTTATAATATGACGATCAATCCCATGACCCATTGGTAAAACAGCAGCCCAAGAGTTGGCGATATATGATATTTTTCATTTCTTGTTATCTATGTATTAAGGCCCAATTCACCCAAGGAAGGTTTGATATTTCGTTATCTACGTATTAACGCTTAATTCACCTAAGGAAGGTTTCATGTCTTGTTATCCATGTTTTAATATTTAATTCACCTAAGGAAGGTTTCATGTCTTGTTATCTATGTTTTAACGCCCAACTCACCGAAGGAAGATTTTAAATTTTGTTTTCTATGTAATAAGGCCCAATTCACCCAAGGAAGGTTTCATGTCTTGTTATCTATGTATTAGTAGATTCTTGCTTAGAGAAAAGTGTGAAAGTAAAAAAAAATAGAAATGTGGGAATTGCTTTCTGTTCCCCAGTGCATTCTATTGTGCCTGTGATGCTCATGCTTTGCTATATTTAATATTAGATGTTTCCATGAGCGTGTCTGATTGGTAATGAGGAAGATAATTAAATGACATTCTGTTCAAGGAACTGAAAAGAAATGACCGTTATGTGTTAGAAATATATATACCTGAAAAATATATATAACCCAAATCATTTGTTGTCAGTATCCCCCATTTCATCTAGAAAAAATACAGCAACGAAAAAATTACAACGTTGTCTGCGATCATATTTGTCTTTATTTTTTTCTGGAAGCCTGAGAAACAGATTGTGTGATTTAAAATGTAGGCCAAGTTATTTTACAAATTAAAAGTCAAGTAGTAGTTGCTTTCAATATTTGAAGAAGTCATTGATGTCATAGGACTTTATACAACACATTTTTGTAAATTGGACAATATTTTCGTAAAAATATCGATAAGTGAGACAAGTTCTAGAAGGAGAACTCACCGGTTACAGAACTTCCGGTACATGTAGCATTGGTTTCTGTAAGGATCATTCTCTCTTCTCTTAGTTTTCTTGTGCTAGCAATATTAAGTAGCATACAAAGTAGAAAATCTTTGGTTTCGAAGTTGTGGTTGTGAATAAGTTGTATCTATATGCTTATATATATATATATATATGATGCTACGATATAATTGTAAAAGTGGCGTTAACATTGCGTAACAAATGTGCTTTTTTATATATTTACTTTTTATTTGTTTTGAGGGCTATCTGCGTTAACAGTCCCTAGTTTAGCAGTGATAGACCAGATGGAAGGCAGCTAGTCCCTTCCTTCGGTGAATTCGGCGTTAATGTATAGATAATAAGACATGAAACAATCCTTGGGTGAGTTGGGCCTTACTACATATATAACAAGACATGAAAATTCTTTGGATGAATTTAACATTATTATATAGATAACAAGACATGAAATCTTCCTTGGGTGAATTGGACGTTAATACATACATAGCAAACATGAAACCTTCCTTGGGTTAGCTAGGTATTAATACATATATAACAAAACTGACACTTTCCTTGGGTAAATTGGGCGTTAATATACATATGGCGAAACATGAAACTTTTTTGCTGAATTGGGCGTTAATATACAGAAAACAAGACTTGAAACTTTCCTTGGCTAAATTGGATATTAATACATAGGTAACAAATCATGAAACCATCCTTGGATGACTTGAGAGCTAAAACATAGATAGCAAGACATAACACCTTCCTTGGACATTAATACGTAGATAACAACATATGGAACCTTTCTTTGGTGAATTAAGTATTACTACGTAGATAACAAGACATGAAACCTTCCTTGGGTGAATTGGACTTTAATACGTAGTTAACAAAACATGAAACCTTCCTTGGATTAATTGGGTGTTAATACATAGTTAACAAAACATGAAACCTTCCTTGGATTAATTGGGTGTTAATACATAGTTAACAAAACATGAAACCTTCCTTGGGTGAATTGGACTTTAATACATAGTTAACAAAACATGAAACCTTCCTTGGGTGGATTAGGAATCAATACATAGTTAACAAAACATGAAACCTTCCTTCGATGAATTGGGCGTTAATACAAAAATAACAAGAGATGAAACATTCCTTAGGTGAATTGGGCAATTCGTTCTTGAAGAAGGAGAGTCTACCTTCCGAAAATGCTCGGGTTACCAAGTTTTGCGATTATCTATATGTTTGCTCCTACAAGATGTCTAGGTATCATGAAACCATTACTTTAGTTGTAGACAGTGACGCTTTTTTTTTGTAAGTGAGTGATGTACTTATTCATTCATAGAAAATTTTAAATATATATATATATATTCTCTTCGTCCCTGAATTAAAATTATTTAGTTTGATAACTTTTATAAACGATTTTAAGAAAAACGTTTCTCATAACCTCGGGAATGCTAAAAACTGAATTTACTTACTTGATAAAGTATATTTGAAACCTTCGTGCCGGTGCCAGAACACGTGCTGGTACCACACACACACACAGAACACGCGGGTCCAAGCCACTTTGTCTGCTACGTACTACATCGAACTTAGTGCGTGCAAGCCTCGTGCTAGGGGCAGACTGCCAGCTGATGCAGACAGAAGCACACAGGCTGCACGAGCTGTAATGTCTGTATTGATCGGTGTGCCTTCTGTGCGTGACTGCACCTATGCCAATACTCCTTGGTACGGGTCATGTACGGGAGGGAGAGGGGAAAAGCAAACGGGGAAAGATTAACACCGAAATTAATGTGGATATCTTATATCACAAGAACTTCAAGATAAGGGTGCCATTCAGTTGGAAACCGCCAAAAATTCAGGAAACTGTGATAACTTTATACAAATTATTGCAAAACGTGAAAAATGATCATCCTAAAACATTAACGTACAACTTACTCAATTATCTATATATACGGACAAATCTCTCTGTACATGATAGATCAACTAGAGAGATAAAAAGTATACATATTCATGTAAATGCTACAACAGAATAATTCTATTTGAATTTGTGTAGTTGTATGCGAAAAAAACAACAACTAAAATGTGTGCATGGGTTACGCGATGCTTGGCATTTACGCATTAAACTAAACGGCACTGTGTGTTTATCTTCTAGATCATATACATACACTAAGTCTGCACAAGACTGAATAAAATGGATTAGAGGAAGTTAGAATTTATATTTTAATTCATTGTGATGAAGACTGGACTAAGCTTGTGTTTCATGACTTTTGATGGCAAAGAACTCGTCCGTATGGATAAGACAGTTCATAAATTTTATTAACTATCGCTGCAAGGAAAATCAACCTTTAATAACGTATAGACAGACTATAGACTAATCCAGTTTCTCATTCTTTACTTACAAGTAGTCTGGAATATGACTTTCTATTTGTATTAAACGTTATAATAAAAAAATAAAACTTTAAAGACAAAATACTAAAAGTAAAAATTTTAGATAATTATCAAATGTTCTAAAAAAAACAGAAAGCTTGAATTTAAATAGTTTAAAGGAGATCTAATCCCTCAGACTAACATTATGGTGCAAGTCAAAGAAGAGAGATCAAAGCTGCACATCTTATATATGATAGGTTATAGATTGACTCGTTAATAATCATCTCCAAGATGGCGTCACCTTAAACCACTAGACGGAATCACTCAACATCGAAACCACAAAACCTCTACACTTCGATGAAACCGTTCCACCTTCAAGGAAGACGAGTTGCTCACTAAGAAAATCGCAAAAATATATACAAATACAATTTATTGGTTTTAGTGTCTTCTCCTTCATCTCCTGATCCAGATTCTGACGGAATCCCGGTTGGCATGGTTGATCATTTTTTAATTTGTTAGTAGATGTTTGTATGGAACAGTTGTACTTATCATAACAAGGCAAAATAATAGAAACACCAAACTCTGACGCTTTCAGGAAAATTCGAATCTTAATATATAGAATATTTATTTAAGTGCATCCAAATATATTACGTAGTATGAAGTGATGGAAGTCAATGCAAGATATTAGAGACACTTGCTAAAATGCTTTTATCTTTAGACCTAAATACTAGTAATTTTAGTGTGTCAAGCTCTCTACTGCGTCAACGGTGGAACAGGTCGAAAAATTTATTAGTGACCGTTGTTTAACTTGATCTGGAGACGAGTGCTCCGGAGTGTCGTGTCAGGGAGATTTTTCGTTTTGCCGAAAACATCTTCTACAGTTAAGAGAAATTGATTGTAAAATTCTCCCAACTGTAAGAAAAGGGCATGTGATTGGTCTAAATTCGTGCTCCAAGTTGCATTAATTACTTCACGCGCCGGAAGACAGTTGTAATGAAATGTTTTTTCAGCACGATAAAATGAAATCGAAAGAGTTGAGTTGGAAGCGAGAAAAGCAATATTTCAAACAGGAATTTGGAAAGATTCGCTTCTTATGGGGAAGATCGGCAGCAGGAGATGCAAACTGGAGACGAGAAAGCTGCCAGCAAAGCCTCGCTTGAAATATTGATGCCAGGTCATATCCTATTTCATTTTTCTAGTATATGCTATTCTACTCGCACAATTCTGCACCGATCAACACGTCTCCAATTTTTTGGATTCTTATGGTTTTTCGCAAGCGTATCACCACAAATTAAACAGTTCATGTTGAAGTTAAATTTTGATTCAGATCGTTTTTCTAAAGGTGGCGACTCTCTGAGATACCTGGCATCCAGTATATTTCAATTCTCGTCGAACGTACGACCTCGATGCATATTTTAAAACACATGTATTGTGAAATCTTATTGTCAGCTTGGGGTCTTTTCCATAATCTTTCTATGTGAAGGATGTGAATGCGATGGTTTTCTTTATCTTAGCTTCTCCATCATTAAAAAAGTTGAATAGTCTTCTAGCATTTAAAGAAGAAATTGATAAGCCTATTTCAAAGAATACCAAACTACAAAGTTGTTTAGCACTTCAGTTTAGCGCATACGCTCTGATATCCGGCACTCGAATACATAATAAATAAATAAATTTATTTGACACGTGATTACTTGCCAGCGTGATAACAAACCATAAGGATATTAATCACATAATGTTTCTTTTGTAGTGATGGTAACAAACAGAAAACTCACGTGTGTATTTTAAATCATTAATATCTAATCACAACGTATTCAGTTGGCACTAACGTTTTTACATTTCTTAATAGTGGCATTTAAAGTCAAAATTCTGACTGAAGTTTGGGTAAAATATCCTACGTCGTTGAGTAATGTGCGCTAAAAAAATCAAAACTAATTATCCAATTACCTTCAGATTTTACACCTTCAGAACGTTCTATATGGAGAAAAGTTTATTTGTAGCCACATTTATGCCACAGAAACGAAAGCATCTTAGAAATTGTTTGGTCTATTCTAATATATTAACATGCTTATATAATTACTAAACTAAGTTAGCCTGTGTTATGTATTTCTTGCTCTATGGACGCTACACTCACCATACCGTAACATTTTGTAACGGGTACCAACAGTTAAAAGTTTTTGGCACCTAAAGACAAATTTGGTAACCATTGTGAAAATGTATAATCGTTCATGTAACGTAAAAGCATGTAGTTTATTAACACTTTATTTTTACAACAAAACTTGTTGTAGTTCATGTAACAGCATGTAATTTATTAACACTTCTTTTTACAACAGAACTTGTTGTAATTCATGTAACAGCATGTAGTTTATTAACACTTTATATTTACAACAGAACTTGTTGTAGTTCATGTAACAGTATGTAGTTTATTAACACTTTCTTTTTACAACAGAACTTGTTGTAGTTCGTTTAAAAGCATGTAGTTTATTAACACTTTATTTTTACCACAGAACTTGTTGTAGCTCATGTAAAAGCATGTAATTTAAGTATTGTAGATTCATAATATTTTCTTTTGTTGTAGATATTGCGTGCAGGTGGTTTCTTTAACACAATGAGATCACAATCAATTGCAACTAAATTACTAATGTATCTAAATGTACTTTCGAAATATTCCTCTTCAAAACGGTTCATAAAATTGGACGTATAATAGAAGAGGCATAGATCTGCCATGTTTAGACGCTGAAATATACTTTAACGTCAAAATATATGGTGTAAGTATATATATATTGAGGGAGTTATAGAGGAATATATACATATATTTAAACATCTTGGATAATTTAATTGCCTATAAATAGTGATAAAATAATTGATTTGTATTGTTGGCTTAACAAAGGTTTCGTTTCTAAATATTCCAATTAACTTAACCTTAGAAGCTCTTCGGATTATAGTTGAAAACGCAGCAATTTACAAATAAATGCATTGTAATCACGTATAATGTATTTTTTTTTACAACAGAACTTGTAGTTCATGTAACAGCATGTAGTTTATTAACACTTTCTTTTTATAACAGAACTTGTTGTAGTTCGTGTAAAAGCATATAGTTTATTAACACTTTATTTTTACAACAGAACTTGTTGTAGTTCATGTAACAGCATGTAATTTATTAACACTCCTTTTTACAACAGAACTTGTTGAAGTTCATGTAACAGCATGTAATTTATTACCACTTTCTTTTTACAACAGAACTTGTTGTAGTTCATGTAACAGCATGTTATTTATTAACACTTTCTTTTTACAACAAAACTTGTTGTAGTTCATGTAACAGCATGTAATTTATTAACACTTTATTTTTACAACAGAACTTGTAGTTCGTGTAAAAGTATGCAGTTTATTAACACTTTTTTACAACAAAACTTGTTGTAGTTCATGTAACAGCATGTAATTTATTAACACTTCTTTTTACAACAGAACTAGTTGTAATTCATGTAACAGCATGTAGTTTATTAACACTTTCTTTTTACAACAGAACTTGTTGTAGTTCGTGAAAGTGTTAATAAACTACATGCTGTTACATGAACTACAACAAGTTCTGTTATAAAAATAAAGTTTTAATAAACTACTAATGTCACTGCTTCCAACAAACAACAAATTAATGGTTTCATCGGTACATTTTATTTTTACAAAACAAGCATCTCTAATAAAATATCCAAACTGACAATTCCACAGTATGAACGTCACACAGGTAATCCTCAAATGACATGTTTTTGAATCATTTATTACCGGTGTAATAGTGTATCATATTAGAATTTTTTGTTTTTGCTTGTTATAATACTCACTGTTCCTTTTCTATGTAGAATAAATATGGAATTCCACCACTAATTAGGAGGTTTAATTGAAATATCATTGTTTATATGTTTGTTTTATATTCTTTAGCGTATCACTCATATTATTAGGAACTCTGTAACCAGCAAAGTCGTGGACCTAAAATAACAATTTAATTCATAAACAGTTTTGAAAAATCTGGTAATTCTATGGTTAAGAAATCAATTTTAAATCTTAGAATAGATTCAAATTTGAATAGTTTAATTAATTCAGATTTCAAATATATTTTTTATTTTGGAGTTTTGACCATTAGGTGGTCACGTGTCGAAAATACCTAAAGTTCAATATTAATGTTACAATCCGTTAGTCCTTTTTGACACCATCTGATTGTTCGACCAATGTTGAGTTTAACAGTAGT